CATTTGGTCACCGTTTTTTCTGAAGAAGGCTCTAATTAATTTATTAATCGCGCTGCCATGTCGCTTTAATTTGCTCTAGTATTAACCAGTATTAATAGTTGTTCTAGGGTTCCGATTGTTTCATTACAAGACCGGAGTAAATTAGATATATATCAGAGAGTATTTTTATAAATCTGATTTTTAGATTTCGTTCTTCAAAAAAGGAAATTTTTGCTCTTTGATTCACAATTCAAATTCTTCGATATTTTTATTTTATAATTTTTAATTAAGAAACTTAAAAGTAAATATGAATACTTATACAAAATAGATTTTATAAAAATTTAATAACAAGTAAAGACAAATCTTATTCATTGTTATAAAAAGGGAGATTAAATCAATTATAAGCATCTACATATATATAATATGTTTTTCAACCTACCTATACCGATTTCGTCTGATCAAAATTGTATTCAAATCATTTTTGCTTTGTCAGTTGCAAGAAAATACAAATAATTTCTTAATTCCTGTAATTTTTATTATGACTATAAAGTCGAAAACACTATTCATGGATAAGATTATAATTCTTATTTTCACTTAAGCCATGCAAATTAATATATTGCTTTATTACTTATATATGTTGATTTTATGCCATTTTTATTAGTTCGTCGCCGAAGTTCGATTGGTAAATTTAAAGTGTGTGCCATTCTTGTTTAAAGCCGAATATGTAGATGTCTTTGGCTATAATTGGAACAGTATTTTCAATTATCCGATTCCACAATGTTGCGGGTCATTTAGTGTATATCAGTCAGCATCTTCAATCCATTTATCTTGCGAAGAAAGATCTCACTATGCCGCACTTATTATCTATGATTAATTTTCCATTACTTTTAGAGTTAGACTAGGCAGCTCAGTGTGCTTCCTTCTATTATTGTACTTCCATTCTGTATCAGTCAGCATCTTCAATCCATTTTTTTGCGAGGATTTATGATTTTTCACTATGTCCTTTGAAGCGTACGCTCTCAGATAAACTTCTCTACTGAATCTACCTCGATCCTATACGCATGTCATCATTTCTGATATATAGTGACAAATTCAGAATCCTTTCGATCATTACGTCTGAACAGTTGCAATACTATGATACTATATAATTTAACGTAATTTTTGTTGCTTGTAGATTAACACAATGAATTACCCGTTAATTATTAATCTTTCTAGTTAGTTCAATATATCATTGCCCAACTACTAAACATTGCCCAACTACTATATGCTTAAAGGTCAAGATATAAGGTTTGTAGAACGTGCATAACCCTGTATAAGTAATTGATTGATTGAATAATTAATTACCTTATATTCAATTTCAATTTGTATGTGCGCTTGTTAACATTAATAATATTTTAATTAGGTACAATAAATTGTACATTTCAAAAGAAATTAAATCCATGCATTAGAACTCCAAAGAAGAGAGTAAGTGTGAGTTCCATACTTATAATTCTCATTTAAACAAAACAAAAATTTTTTTATTATTAACACAGAAACCAGTTCGAAAAAATTAAAATGCAAGTGCAATTGTTATTGTTGATGT